GGCCATTCGGATATGTATAACGTCATCCACAGGCCATACAAAATTATCACCTTAAAAATTAGTCTGCTATGGGGCCAGCGCCATGGCTCACTTGGTTAATCCTCTGCCTGCAGCGCCGGCATGCTATATGGGCTCTGGATTTTGTCCTGGTTGCTCCTCTTCCAGTCAAGCTCTCTGATGTGGCCCAGGAAGGCAGTAGAGAATGGCCCAAGTGCTTGGACCCCTGCATCTGCATGGGAGACCAGGAAGAAGCACCTGGCTCCTGGCTTTGGATTGGTGTAGCGTCAGCCATAACGGCCATTTGGGGAGTGAACCAACGGAAGGAAGACCTTAGTCTCTCTCTCACTGTCTATAACTCTACCTGTCAAATAAATTAAAAAATAAATTAGTCTGCTATATAGATTTACTGAATTTCAGGCCCACAAACCATTTGGTCTAGCCATGCCTTTTATGGTCTGCTGGCCTGATGTTCCTTACCCCTGGCTTAAATTGTATGTGAAATGAAGAATAGTGATTTAATAAGTTTAGCCCTGTATTCTTCCTAAAAATTGTTCACTCGGTTAGCAGTGAGTAGCAGATAAAGTGAAGATTACTAGAAACTTTTACTTTGAAACAGCTGTTTTGGGGAGGAGTCCTATTTTATTAACTTTTTAAATTTTGTATATTACACATAAATTTGTCATTTTTAAAACAGCTGTATATTTTAAGGAAAGGGAAAAATTATTATTCCCAAACTTCCCTCCTGTGGGGAGCAATCCGGACTAGACTGAGTTACTGGAATTAAGACTTATTCTATGCATCTGCTCTCCCACAATATGGCGCTGGGAGAGGAGGCAACAGCTTCTACCCAGCTGCCTCTCACCAACTTGACAAGCTGCAGGACCTGCTCCTGATTGGAGGAGAGCAGCGTACTCGGCGTGTGGGCAGCCGAGTTAGGATTGGCGGAGGAGGACTATAAAGGAGGAGAGAGACGGCATGCACCAGGAACATCTAAGGGGAACATCTGAAGGGACACCTGTGCAGCCCCCGAGAGAGCCGGCCGGTGGTGTGCCGCTCCCCTGCGGAAGTGGGGAATGTGGCAGGGGGAACTGCCCTTCCACGGAGGTGGAAGGGACAGTAGCCAACCCGGGAAGAACCAGCAGCAAACCCGGGGAGGGCCGAGCAGACGAAAGAACAGCGCAGGGTCCTGTGTCGTTCCTCCACGAAGAGGGGGAGCGACATAATGGTGCCGTGACTCGGATATGAAGCCTAGGCAGGGTTCAGTGTCGTTCCTCCACGAAGAGGGGGAGCGACACCTCCCACTACTCACACTCTATTTTCCTTTCTTTTCTTCCTCTTTTTTTTTTTTTTTTTTGTGTGTGTGTGTGTGTGAAAGGTGAAGTTACAGAGAGGGAGAGGCAGAGGCGGCAGCAGAGAGAAAAGTCTTCTATCTGCTGGTTCACTCCTCAAATGGCCACAACCGCCAGTGCTGAGCCAGAGCAAAGCCAGGAGCCAGGATATTCATCTGGGTCTCCCACATGGGTACAGGGGACCAAGCACTTGGGCTATCTTCCTGCGCTTTCCCAGGTACATGAGCCAGGGACTGTATTGGAAGTGGAGCATCTGGGACTCAACTGGTGCCCATATGGGATGCTGGCATCCCAGGTGGTAGCTTAACTTGCTGTACCACACTGCTGGCCCCTTATTTTCCTTTCTAATGAAAAGCACTTATTGTACCTTTCAAATGTAAGTATCAATGGATTGACATGTGTCTGTCTATGCTGTACTCTATGCTGTCATATCATAATGTCTATCCCAGCAGGTGTGAGTTCATACTGTACATATTCTGCATGTTATTTTAGTTAGTATCTCAGAGATGATTTTTATGTCTGTATTACAAAAATTTACCTCTGTAGATTGAATCATTACTTGGTATTTCTTAAAGTGAATGTTCTATAATTAACCATTTCCTTGTGAATGCCCTCTAAACCAAGAAACACATGTGTTGAACAAGTTTGATTTAATACTTTTTGCAGCAATGGAAAACGAAAATCATAGGGAAACCACAGGTGTCTTACTAAGAGGATTTTTTTTTAAATGGGCTGATTTTAGAGGATTGGGCCTATATTAGGTGATTTTTGTGGAGGGTTTAAGTAAGGCTTTACTCTGAATTGAGTACTGTCAGGAAAATAGATAATTCTGTAATGAGTATCTTAATCTTTAAAAGGATGAAAAGAATAAACAGAGGTAAAATCTGTAATTAATAAAAAAGCAGTGATCATATTGGTGTAGGTTAGGGGTGTATTTGTAGCTTTGACAATGTTCTTTTTTTTGAAATGTGTCCATTATGGAATGAGAAGGGTTTTACACTGATCCCTCATAGACACATAGTGCCCTTGTCTCATGTTTATGATTGTGTAACTGTTAATGTTCAACAAAACAGAGCTGTTGGTACTCGGCTAGTTTATAGAAAAACCAACACCTGGCTGATTCAACCAGGCCAGCTGTACAGTGTCAGGGACTGCTTCTTTCCTGCTCAACTGATAAACAGAGGGGTTGTTAGTTTTTTGTTTTGGTTTGTTTTGTTTGCTTGTTATTTGTTTATTTGCAAAGAGAGCGTGCAAGCATGTGAGAGAGAACAGGTTAGCTTCCATCCACTGATTCACTCTCCAATCACTGGTTCACTTTCCAAACACTGCAGTGGCCAGGGCTGGGCTGGCCCTTTGCTGGGGTGAATCTGGGAGCCAGGAATATAATCCAGGACTCCTTTGTGGGTAGCAGGAACTCAGGTACTTGAGGCATCACTGCTGCATAGGTAGGAAGCTGGAACTAGGAATAGAACTCAAATACTCCCATAAGGGATGCAGGTGTCTTAACTGCTACACTAAACACCTGCTCCATATAAGGGTTTTGTTTTGTTTTTTGCTTTTTGCAGAATTTTTCCTTATCATTGTTACAGTGAGCATTCTTATTGCATAGACTTTTGTGTACAAGTGTAAATTCCTACAAGTGAGATTATATCAAGGGTTATATAAAGTACCATAAAATTTGATTGTATTCATCTCTAGAGAGCCTGTATTTATTTCTACTCCTTAGTAAACAAGAACGCCTTAGCCAGGAATAGATGTTAGCATTCTAAGATTTTCTGTTATTTTTTTTTTTTACTTGAAAGACAGATTTGCCATCCAGTAGTTTACTCCCAGGTGTCCGTAACAACCAGGGCTGGACCAGGCTAAAGCCTGAAACCAGAAACTCAGTCCAGGTCTCCTATTTGGGTGGCAGGGACCCAAGTACTTGAGCCATCGCGTGCTGCCTCCCGTGGTGAACATTAACCAGAAGCTGCAACCAAGAGTAGAACTGGGATTTGAAGCCAGGAACTCCAATATGAAATATGGATGTCTCAAGTGCTAAAGCATTGTGCTTTAACAAATTGCTTTAACAAACAACATTTGCCTCTCTGGTTGAGGGTTTTTTGTGTGTTTTTTTTTTTTTTTTTTTAATGTTTATTTGTTTTTATCTGCTTGAAAGGCAGAAAGAGAGGAGAGGTAGGGAGGAAGTGAGGGAAAGGAAGAGAAAGAGAAAGATCTCTTTGATTCCCTCACTAGCCAGGGCTAGGCCATGCTGAAGGCAAGAACCTGGAACTCTGCTTGGCTCTCCCATATGGGTGGCAGGGGCCCAAACACTTAGGCCATCATGTGCTGCCTGCTAGATGCAATAGCAGAAAGCTGGGTAGGAAGCGGAGAAGCCAGAATTCGAATGAGCACTCCAATGTGGTATGCAGGCATCTCAAATAGTTGCTTAACCCACTACATCACAAAACCTGTCCTTCTCATTGAATTTTAAGGACTCTATATTTTATGGATATTTATGACAAATCTTTGTCTCCTATGTGTCTTTTCTTTATGCTTAGGAGAGCTTTTATCAGCCTGAGATTATAAAAACAATGTTCTAGTGAGAGTAAGCTTAATTTTTTTTCCAAAAGTGCTCTAGTATCCTGATGCCATTTGTTGACTAGTTCATTATTTTCCTGAGTGCCCATTGTATATAGTTCATTTAAGTTTTAACCATATACACATGCCCACACTCATACACACACAGAGCTAAACAGTTCTAAAAGCAAGGAATGAAATATATGAATCAATAATTACATTTGTCCTTTAGGAAAACTCTTAATTGACATGTAAAACTTCTGACAACATAAAAAAAGTTGGGAATGCAGCTGGAAATGAGATGAAGTTTATTTCCTGAATTACAAGCCCATATATATGGTTTTATTTTTATTTTTATTTTTTTATTTTTTATTTTTTGACAGGCAGAGTGGACAGTGAGAGAGAGACAGAGAAAGGTCTTCCTTTGCCGTTGGTTCACCCTCCAATGGCCGCCAAGACCGGCACGTTGCGGCCGGCGCACCGCGCTGATCCAAAGGCAGAAGCCAGGTACTTCTCCTGGTCTCCCATGGGGTATAGGGCCCAAGCACTTGGGCCATCCTCCACTGCACTCCCGGGCCACAGCAGAGAGCTGGACAGGAAGAGGAGGGACTGGGTCAGAATCCGGCGCCCCGACTGGGACTAGAACCCGGGATGCTGGTGCCGCAGGCGGAGGATTAGCCTATTGAGCCGCAGCGCTGGCTCCATATATATGTTTTTGTAAAACATTCTATTGATGCAACTCACCTTACAGCTTGAAATTATAAGGGGATAGTCACAGTGTTTAACAGTATTAATTCCTCCCCTTGTAGTTCTGTCCATGGGTAGCCAGTCTCCCTCAGAGTACATAGTCCAAGAAGGAGCAAGGTAGAGGTGTAAAATGAAGACCCAGTTCTGTAAGTCATATACCATCTATCCTATCTGCTGTATTTTATTTGTTTGAGGTGATTCAGTAATGCAGCTCATTCTCAAAGAGAGGAGAATTATGCTGTCATTCTTGAAGAAGACAGAAATTGTTATACTGCAGATATTTATTTTGTGTGTTTATGGATCAGAGAAGAGTAAGGGGTTCATTTGTAATGTTTGACTTCTTAGGACACTGCCTTAGGAAAACCACGTGAAGTATTCCGACTTCCTACAGATTTGACTGCGTATGACAATCGTCTTTGTGCATCTCTCTACTTCACGTCTTCTACCTGGGTTACATTGTCAGATGGAACTGGAAGGTTGTATGTCATTGCAACAGGCGAACGTGGAAATAGTGCTTCTGAAAAATGGGAGGTGAGTTTAAGACATGTGAAGTCCAGAAACTATATACAAATTAGACTTATTTGAAGGAACAGTTTGCCAAGGACAATTTATGTGTGATCTCTTGGTTTTTCTAAAGTATTTATATAACATTTTGGGTCTGTGCTTGATTGAATTATCAAATATATGCCTTCTTTGCTTTGATGTGATATATAAACTGTTCCTGTTTTTTATCTAGGGTTTGTGCGATTGCCTAGAATTGCATTCATTTTTCAAAAAAATATTTTTTTTACTGCATTATATGTGTAAAGTACTGTATTTGATAAACAAACAAACAAACAAACCTGCATTGGGATTTTTGAACTACCCACATGTTAGATTTGCTGGCGTTTACATGTGGTCAAATACTGAGTTTACTGGACTGTTTCCTGCTAAGAAAAGTACATTATAGTCTAAACATAGTTTTGTGCCAGTGTTTAAAATGACATTTTTACTTCACTTTTTCTTTAACAGAACATTTGAGCTTGAGGGGTAGGTTATAGTTTTAATAGTAGTAAATAAGGAATTGATGTCTCCAATGCCAGAGTTTTTGCAGTGGAAGAAAATGGTGTTGAACATATAATAAAAGGATTTATTATTTCAACTCTTCTGAAGAATAAGTGTATTGTAATATTGCTACTCTCCATACTTTAACAGGTAGCATTTAACTCTGGGTAAAGAGATAACAAGTTCAATGTAGTTACATATTGACAAGTGTTTTCATTGGACCATCAGATGTTATGAGACTGGGCTTAAAAACAACACATGCATTCTGCTCATTCTGCTACAAGGAGATTGGTGATTGGAAGGAGTTTTTCATTTTCTTTTTTTTTTTTTTTTCTGCTGTGTGTGTCTCCTTGGCATAGATTAGGCCTTCAATAATTTTTTAACCAATTGGAGATCTGTCTTATGCCCTTTTTAGAATATACTGTGTATAGATACTGTTCTGAAATGTTTCAACTAACTTTGTTTTGATTGGGTTCTATGTGAAGTGGGAGAAGAGTGGAAGGACATTATGGGATATTCATCACTTTAAGGAGAAGTTTAGGAGGGTTTTAGGACTTGGGGGTAATTTTTGTATGAGAGAAGAAGCAGAAGGTGGAAGTAGATAAAGAGCATGATAGAGCATAAGGAGGCCCAGGGTAGTGATGCTAACGGAAATGTAAAAAGAAATTAAAGAGCAGGGGGCACTGCCTGTCTTCTAAATGTGTTGCTCCTCCTTTGGTGAGGGTGCAGTATATCAGAAGTATCTCAGCTGAGATGCTGGGTTTGTTCAGAAGACTGGAAATTTTAGCCTAACAATTTTTTTTTCACGAAGTCCAAATATCTGTTCCTCTCATTCACTGACACCCTTTTACTCACATGAGGAAAAAAAATTCAAACAATATTCTGATACCTACCCAAACTTGGTTTTCCCTTCTTGCTGATGTCTCTCCATTTATATGGGATGCTGGTATTGTAGGTGGTGGCTTAACTTGCTGTGCCACAATGCCACCAACCAGATAAAAGTTGTTTTTTTTTTTTTAAAGACCTAAGTTTTTTCAGTGGTGTTCAATTATTCATTTTTTTCATTTATTTGGAATTCTTGTTTAGGAATTTGTCTTATAGCTTTATTTAATATTTCCTTCAATACAAATGTAATAGTTTTTAGATAACATGTTTGTGGTATAAAAAAGAATTAGAAAGGATTTTGTGTGTATTTATTTCATGTGTGGATTAGCCTTTTTAAAAATGTCAGCATTTCGGGGCTGGCGCTGTGTGCAGCGGGTTAAAGCCCTGGCCTGAAGTGCTGGCATCCCATATGAGCGCTGGTTCTAGCCTCAGCTCTCTGGTATGGCCTGGAATAGCAGTAGAAGATGGCCCAAGTCCTTGGGCCCCTGCACCCATGTGGGAGACCCAGAGGAAGCTCTTGGCTTCTGATCAGCACAGCTCCGGCCGTTGCAGCCATCTGGGGAGTGAACCAGCGGATGGAAGACCTCTCTGTCTGTCTCTACCTTTCTCTGTAATTCTGCCTTTCAAATAAATAAATCTTAAAAAAAAGGCAGCATTTCTAGGACTTTGGATCTGAACTGGCATTCCAATATGGGATGTGGCAGCCCAAGCAGTGACTTAACCTGCTGTGCCGCAGTACATGCCCAGGCTTATATTTTACATGAAACCTACTGTGTTATCTTTTTTAAAATATACACAGAATCTTGGTTTGGGGAAATAAAGTTTACTGATTTTTCATCCAAAGCTTTTCACTTTCTTGTCTTTGTAAACTTCCAGAAAATAAACAGGAAAAGAAATAGTAACAGTAAAAAAGCATACCTGCATATACACTTATACTCACACTGTCCGGAAGTTGAGAGGAAGGGGTCTTACACGGAACAGGGGAATGTTGACGGGCACATGCAGCCTTTGTTGTGTGGAGCACTCTTTTCCCTTGATAATTCTTTTTGAGGAGATTGCTTGCACGTCTCTTTCTACTTCACATGCTGTTGTGATGCCCCCTTGTTTTTATTTTGAAGCCAACATTAATGATCAGTTTTCTCTGTTACACAAATGAATGTTTTTCTGAGTTCTTTCTTCAAAGAACATTATTTAAACGTACAGCCTATATAAAAGGTTTTTTAAATTTTTTAAAAAGATTTATTTATTTGAAAGGCAGAGTTACAGAGAGGAAGAGGCAGAGTGAGAAAGAGAGAGAGAGAGAGAGATCTTCCATCCACTGATTCACTCCCCAAATGGCCATAATGGCCAGGGCTGGGCCAGGCCAAAGCGAAGAGCCAGAATCTTCATCCACGTCTCCCACGCTGGTGCAGGGTCCAAGAGCCATCATCTGCTGCTTTCCTAGGCCATTAGGAGAGAGCTGGATTGGAAGTGGAGCAGCCAGGACTCGAACTGCCACCTATATGGGATGTCAGCTCTGCACTCGACAGTTTAACCTGCTACGCCACCGTGCCAACCCCTTAAATTTTTTTTTTTTTTTTTTTTTTTTTTTTTTTTTTTTTTTTGACAGGCAGAGTGGACAGTGAGAGAGAGAGTCAGAGAGAGAAAGGTCTTCCTTTGCCGCTGGTTCACCCTCCAATGGCCGCCGCTGCAGCCGGCGCACCGCGCTGATCCTGGCAGGAGCCAGGAGCCAGGTGCTTTTCCTGGTCTCCCATGGGGTGCAGGGCCCAAGCACCTGGGCCATCCTCCACTGCACTCCCTGGCCATAGCAGAGAGCTGGCCTGGAAGAGGGGCAACCGGGACAGAATCCGGCGCCCCAACCGGGACTAGAACCCGGTGTGCCGGCGCCGCAAGGTGGAGGATTAGCCTATTGAGCCACGGCGCCGGCTTAAATTTTTTTTAATTCCTTGTAGTAAATAGCCTCCAAAGTAATTGTAAGATTGTAAGAATTCTGTATATTTGCTTTGTGTTATCTGTGTTTATGTAACATGTACATTATCATTTGTAATTTTTTTTGTAGATTATGTTTAATGAAGAGCTTGGGAATCCTTTTATCATAATTCACAGTATCTCATTGCAAAAAATGGAAGAACATTCAATAGCTATCCTACTTCTTCGAATAGAGAAAGAGGACTTGGATATGAAAGGAAGCGGTTTTTATGTTTCTTTGGAGTGGGTCACTATCAGCAACAAAAATAAAGGTAAAACAGAATTCTAGAAACACTCACCTCTCCACTGTATGCCTCCCACCATGGTTCACTTCATCTAATAGATTTTGAAATGCAGAGCTCTCTCTGTAAATGCTGTTAGCTTTTTCTTGGGCATTGTGTTTGGATTCTTGTGCCTACCACTCCTGGTAGAATGAGTATCTGTAGGCAGTTTTTCTTTCGTTACGGTTGTGGAAAAAATTATTTATTTTCACAGCAAGTAAGCCTTCTGTATAAAAGGAAACATTAATAAAGTTCAAAGAATTTAACATGTGCTTTTTTAATATAAATAATGTATACATTATCTTCCTATGTTAATAAATTTTTAAGTAAATGTAAGTTAATGATACATTACAGTGTAATTTAAATGTAAGTAGGTATGAATGTCTCCACATGGAAATGAATACCTTTATTTTCACTGAACTTTGCCTGTTGTTTCTACCCTCAGGAGAATGGAATGTACCTTTTCTCACCTGGTGTGCTTCCATGTGTTAAAAGGTCCTAGACCTTGGTCTCTGAAGCTGTCAGGCTTCAAACTTGACATTAAAAATCTTTCTTGTGTATTAATTTGAATTTCTTTAATACTATTAACTTGCTCTTCACCTTTGCTTAGCACTTACTGCCTTGCCAAGTGACTTTTTTATTTTAAGATAACTAAGGGACTTGGTTTCCTTGATGACTGTTTTTCCCAGTTTTTATTAGCTTCCTTATTTATGAGTTAATTTAACAAAATATCATTTATTACTATAGAAAATATTTCCTTTACCATAGCTACTAGATTATAATCTGATAAAGGCAATTAGTATTTTTTTACAACAGGGCTTCCCCTTTTATTATAAAATCAACAACAAATATCTATATAGATATTATCTCAAAATAGTTTATAAGTAAGTTGAATAAATCTCTTAGATTTATTCTTTGGAGTACTTAATGTAATTTATTTGTTCTTATTCTCAGGGTTGTAGTTTCATCTCTGGAAGAACACATTAACTTAAGACATTAGATTAAGTATTGGAAATTTTTCTGTAAAGAACGGTCTGATCTATGTCACAAGCTGTTCAACTATGCCACTATGGTACATAGGTAATACATAAATGAATAGGTACTATGTAATAGGGTAATACATAGGCCGGCGCTGCGGCTCAGTAGGCTAATCTTCCACCTGTGGTGCTGGCTTCCCTGGTTCTAGTCCCGGTCGGGGCGCCAGATTCTGTCCCGGTTGCTCCTCTTCCATTCCAGCTCTCTGCTGTGTCCCGGGAGTGCAGTGGAGGATGGCCCGGGTCCTTGGGCCCTGCACCCGCATGGGAGACCGGGAGGAAGCTCCTGGCTCCTGGCTTCGGATCAGCACAGCACACCAGCCACAACGTGCTGGCTGTAGCAGCTACTTGGGGGGTGAACCAACGGAAGGAAGACCTTTCTCTCTGTCTCTCTCTCTAACTGTGCCTGTCCAAAAAAAAAAAATAGGGTAGTATATAAATGAATGAGTATAGTTGTGTTCTAATAATATTTTTGTTTGAACATTGAAATTTGAATTTTAATAGTTTCCATATATATTTAAATAATCAATTACAAAGATAAAATTCAAGGTTAGCTTTTAGGTCATATAAAAATAGTCCTAGATTTGACTCATGGGCCATAGTGTGTAGACTACTACTTTAAATGATAGAAACTTTGCTTTTTTTAAATTAAGATTTGTAATTAATCATCTTTTAAGAGAAATTATCCTGCATATTTCTCCTGCCCTTCTTCAAGGCACTTCGTTCTGTAACAGCATTAGCTCAATCATGCAGTTCATCAGATCTTCTTGGAAAACAGCAGCAATGAACTAGCCCCATCATCTATTGCCTTTATCTTCCTTCGCATGCCTCGACTGGACAGATACATTTGGATTAAAGTTTCTTGTTTTCTTCTTTTTGTTTTTCTTGATTTATTTATTTGAAAGGCAGAGTTACTGGATAAAGGGAGAGAAGAGATGCACAGAGAGAGAGAAAGAAAGAACAAGAGATCTTCCCATCAGCTGGATCCACTGGTTCGCCACCCAAATGGCTGTAATGGCTGAGGCTGGCCCAGGCTGAAGCCAGAAGCCTGGAACTCCATCTGCGTCTCCTATGTGGGTGCAGGGGCCCTAAGGACTTAGACCACTCTCCTCTTCTTTCCCTGGTGTATTAGCAGGATGTTTTTTATTCTTCCAAGTTTTTAGTTGTATTAATTTTCTTTATGGTTCCTTTAATCATTTTCTCTTTAATGTTTTAGTCCTTCCCTCCTCAACTATTACCAGAATAATTGTGTTATTTTGTCTTTTATTTTCTAAATTAACAGAAAACTGTTTTTGTAAACTGTTGGGTGAAATATTTGATAAATTATATTTTGTGGTCAAGTAAGTTTGAAATTGTGGACATACAATATCCCTGTTGCACATTATTCATATTAACTTTTCTAAAGATTTTTAGGGAGATATAAAGTTTTAGTCTGGCAATCCCCATTTACTTAATGATGGACTCTACCTTTCGAGATGTTCCTATTGTTTTCCGTCTCACACAATGGGAAAAGCTGTAATATAAAATACATAATGCTTACAGTTGGATTTTCAAAGGTGGATAAGATGATTTGCCCTGCATGTACCTATGAGGAAGAATAGAGGTTTTAGTTGATACATGCAGTTGCAAGCCTACTCTTAAATATGTATGAATTGAATGTGTGTATGTAGGTGAGGATTTAGAGTAAAAACAATGACAGATGTTTGAGAACATATTATTGTTTAAAACATAACACTGAGTTAGGATTTTCAGTTACTCAATTTGGATCTTACAAAATACAATCCACTTTAACAATATAACAGTGTGGAGGCCAGCACTGTGACATAGTAGGCTAGGCCTGTACCTGTGGCGCTGCCATTCCATATGGGCATGGGTTCGTGTCCTAGCTGCTCCTTTTCTGATCCAGCTCTCTGTTATGGACTGAGAAAACAGTGGACCATGGCCCAGGTGTTTGGGCCCCTGCACCCATGTGTGAGACCCAGCTGATGCAACTGCTTCCTGGCTTCAGATTGGCCCAGCTTTGGCTGTTGCGGCCATTTAGGGAATGAACCAGCAGATGGAAGACCTTTCTCTCTGTCTCTACCTCTGTCTGTAACTCTGCTTCTCAAATAGAGAAATAAATCTTAAAAATAAAAAAGTAAAACAGTGTAACAGTGTAAGTAAAGGTATAAACTCAGGTGAAATGTTGTGAATTACTTTTCAAAGCAAAAAAACAACTGTGTTCATAGGAGAATAAATTTAGTTAATGTACCAAAAACTTCAGAGATGCAGTTCATTGTTTATGTCTTCATTGTTATAAGTGCTATTATTTATGTTTGATTATGGTAGACAAGCCCATTTATCTTTGATCTATATAAAAATCATTTCTACTCTATTTTATTTTAAGAAAATCTCTTGTTAATAGTTAGAATAGGCACTTTTCCCTTATCTTCATTTTGTGGCTCTTTTCAGAAGATGCCTATCATATGGGAAAGTAGATAGGCTTTAGTCAAGGAGCAGGTAGGTCCTTCAGAAGCTGATGTTTCAGGTCAGTCAGTCACTTTGAAGGTCTAGAGCTCTGCTAGCCAATGTAAGTTTCTGTAAAATGGACATGTTGTATATGTGTGCCATTCATGGTGGCAGCCATGTGTGGCTGTTGGGCAGTTGAAATGTGGCTAGTGTGACTGAGAAATTGAATTTGAAAATTTACCTAATTTTAATTAAATAGGTGCTTGCAGCCTTTGACTACCACATTAGACATCCCAGTCTAGAACAAAGTTCATCAGCTCCAATATTTTAAAATAGGGACTAATTTACAGATAGTTACGTTGTAAATTTTTATCCTTTTTGTCAATTTAAAATATATGATTAATATTCACATATTTTCAGAATTTTCTTGTGCGTTTTTGGTAATTTTTTTTTTAAACTACTTTCTTATCTTCCAGATACTAAAAAATATGAAATCATTAAGCGGGATACTCTCAGTGGAAAGTCGGTGCCACATTATGCAGCTATTGAGCCTGATGGAAATGGTCTCATGATTGCCTCCTACAAATCCTTCCAGTTTGTTCAGACTGGTCAAAATTTTGAAGAAAATATGGATGAGGACACGTCAGAGAAAATCAAAGGTAATTTCACTTTGAATCCTTCTAGAGCTATTTTGTGTTTATGTATATTCATATTTTTATATGTTTGTCTTTCCGCTCAGGTTATAGTTTCTACCAGGGCAAGGTAGATATTTAATTTTTTGTTATTTTCTTTTATATTTCCCACAACAGTTCTCAGTAAAATATCTACCTAACTAGTGTGAACTGATTTAACAGTTGTAATTGTTTTGTTATTTTAATTACCAAAACTATTTTTTAAATACATCTATATCTTGGTGTGCTTGAGCAGATATTTAATAAATACTTACGAGAGGAATGAAATGCTTTCATTTGCAGCATGGTGGTTGGAACTGGAGGACAGTATGTTAAGGTGAGAAAGAACAATATGTTCTTCCTCATATGTGGAAGCTAAGACAACTCAGTTGGACCATGATAGTAATTAGTAGAGGGAGGGAGACAGGGAAGGGTTGAGGGGATAGAGGGTACCAAATCAGAATTATCTGATTTGTAGAAGGGATAAGTTTGTTTTCTGAGCAAAGAGAAGAGAGGTACTTCATGGCTCCAGTCCTGGTAACAGAGAGGGAGAGATGTCGATTGCCTTGGTTTGAGAGCAGTGCACATCGCATGTATGTGTTGAAACATAACTAAGTAATATATATGTTCTTACTTTCATACTAATCTGAAAAAAGGTTCCTTGAGGCAGAATCACTAAGTTTTGTCAGTATTGAATGAACAAATAAAGATAAGGTTTTAGAATGAAAAAATTAACAAGGTCTTTCAGCAGAAATTTGTATTTGTACCAAAGAATATGTACTCTTTTACAGATATTTATGAGAAAACCCCTGTGTGATCATTACAGAACTATTAGCCAGAGTATAGTATAATTTACTTAATGGTAATTTTTACATATTTAATAATTATACCTATCATTCTTAAATCTTCCTTTTGTGTTAAATCATGTAATGATTAAAATGAAAATTAGCTTCATGTTTTCATATAGAGTTAAGAAAATGAGTTCTTTGTAAGTTTTTGGAAGTATTAGTACATATTGGAAAAGGTTTTCTCCAGGGTTTTTTATATATATAAATATACATATTTATATATAAAATATATATATGCATCTTTGATACAAAATATGCTTGGTGGTCTTTTATTGAGCCTCTTGATACCTTGGTTTCCTGATAACACCATATGTGGGGTTTTTTTTTTGTTTGTTGTTAAATTACCCCTAAGATCCATCTTCAGATAAATCCACCATTCTGTCTTAATTTTAATGTTAAATGCTGCCAGGAGAGGTATTCATATGCTAGACCATATGTCTTCTGAAAACTCTGGTGAGCAATTGCTCAGGAGTGAATGAATGTGTTAATATTTGGAACCATTCTGCCTAGATAGCTAAGACCTTGTGCCCCCCCCCCCCTTTTTTTCTTTCTTCCAACATACAGCTTTCATTTAATTTCTTGTGGGTGGCAGTGACCCAACTACTTGAAGCATCACCTGCTCCCTCACAGGGTCTGCATTGGCAGGAAGCTGAAATGGAAAGCCAGAAGTCAAACCCAGGCACTCCAGTATGGGATGCAGTTATCCTAACTGGCTTCTCAACTCCCTTACTATTTTCTTTCAAAGATTTTAAGCACAATCTAAATACATAGAAAGGCACTTAAAGCAATCAGTTGAAAAAATTATTTAAGTGTTCCATATACTTTCTGTGGGGAGGGAATTAAAACATTCTGTCTTTCTTGTTGGTCAGGTTCTATGGCCTTATGAATGTGTGTGGTTTTTATTTAGTAGACTCCAAAATATATTATCCATCAGTGATTATATATAAAGTACTTTGGCTAGCTTCTATGGGAGACATATTTTGTATTCTTCTGAAATGGGAACCTACTGTGTGCGTGTGTGTAAGGAAAGAGGGAGGCAGGAGAGGTATACAAGGAGGCAGAGAGAGATGCAAATAAAGGATTGCACTCATTAGTATATCTTATAAGTACCTACCTCCTGGAACATTAGGTAAGTCTGAAGAAGAAAATGTCAAGGACAATTGCTACAACTCTTGAGTCAAAATTCCCCATGGAGTTCTGTATGTTTATAATTCCTTTTTTTATGACACAATCACTAGGAAATACACTAAGGTTCTTTTAGCGGGCATTCTTTTATGTGTTGTGGTTTCCAATTTTGGATTACATAATGATTTATTTTCCAAACAGAACCTCTGTATTATTGGCAACAGACTGAAGATGATTTGACAGTAACAATAAGGCTTCCAGAAGACAGTAGGAAGGAAGACATTCAAGTACAGTTTCTGCCAGAACACATCAACATTGTGCTGAGGGATCAGCAGATTTTGGAAGGAAAGCTCTATTCATTGATTGATCATGAAAGCAGTACATGGATAATTAAAGAAAATAACAGGTACTTTAATGGTGTCTGTATTTAGAATTTTATTTTTAATTTTACTATTTTTAATTTTATTCTCATGATGGTTTTGTCAAAGATGATATCAATAGTTTGGTCTGTGCTGCTCATTATTTTTTGAAAGATTAAAAATGAAAATATGAAAGAGCATAATTGTAGTTAAGATTGATGATATCTAGTATAGCTATGCAAGCAGTGTATGGTAGTACTTTTCATTATCAGCTCTGTATACAGTAATTACAATAATATGTATTTACAGGTGAAAATATTTTTTAGTTGGCAGTTTTTGAATTTTTAATACAGTTTTTTAAATTTAATTTTGATTTGCTAACTGTATAACTCAATCCCATTCTTTAAATATAAAAAAGGATATACAGTGAGAATTGTTCTTCTGACCCAGGCCTGCCATCCACCTTTCTACTCTTCACAACCACTGTTACAATTTCCTTTTAGAAATCCTTCTTCTATGTATTCAAGTAGTATGTATTTTTTTCCTTTTTTTAAGAAAAGAAGTTGCTAGTGAGTATTAAATATACACGATTATACATCTTCTTGTTCACTCTCAACAATTAATCTTGGAGATCTTCCGTAAATAATATGTAACTATTTTTTCATATTTTTTATGGTTTTCATAGTATTTAACTCCATTAGCTGAGCCATCATTTAAAAAAAACTGATCTTCAATTGTTGAACATTTAGATTATTTCCAATCCTTTGATACAGTGAATAGCTGTATGTATGTCTATGTGTATATATCACAAGTGTAGGCATAAATGAATAGTAAATTCCTACAAGTGGAATAATTAATATTTCTTTGAATATTATGGTGAATAATTTCTTTTTTTATGGAATTGGCCACTTGCATAACTTTTGTGAAGTGTGTATATCCAGGACCCAAAAAAAGCCATAAAAGAAATATATGAAATTAAATGTCATCAAAACACAATTTTTGCAATCAAAACTAAAAATTTCTGTTTTTCTAAAGAAGCTTGTAAGAAAGCAATCTAAGACATGGACAGGGAAAAAAAGATTTGTGGTACTCAAGTCAAACAAAAGACCTCCATTTTCAATGTATAAGGAATTCCAGCAAATTCATAATAAAAAAAAATCCAGTTTTTAAAATGGTCAAATTATTTGCATGGACATATCACAATAGAAAATACATGAATGTCTAGTCAGTACCTAAAAAACTAATCATTAATCATTAGGGAAATTAAAGCCGGAATGAAAGACCAATGGATGGCTAATACTCATAAGATTGATGGGATGAAATGTTGACAAGGATGTGAGCACCAACAACTCATGTGTTGCTGGTTTGAGCGAAAGTAATACAATCACTTCAGAAAAATGTTTAACGGGCTGGCATTGTTGCATAGCAGGGAAAGCCACTCTCTGGGACGCTGGCATCCCTTATGGGCACTGGTTCATGTCCTGGCTGCTCCATTTTGGTCCAGCTCCCTACTGATGGTCTGGGAAAAGCAGCAGCAGATGGCCCAAGCATTTGGGCCCCTGTCACCCATATGAGAGACCCAGCTAAAGCTCTGTCTCCTGACTTGGCCTGGCTCAGCCCTGGCCACTGTGGCCATCTGGGGAGTGAACGTGCAGATTAAAGACATCTCTCTCGCTCTTTCTCTGTTACTCTTTCATATAAGCAAACAAAATCTTTAAAAAAAAAGAAAAAGAAGTGTTTAACAGTTCCTTACCAAGTTAAACATATGCTTATTTTTAACTTAGTAACAACTCCTTGATAGTTACCCAAGAGAAATGGAAATACATATTAAAAATCAAAGCCAAAAAATGTATACTTTTAGCAACTGAAAATAATGCCAGTGTTTGTGAATAAATGCATGTGGTATTGTCATACAATGAAATGCTACTCTGCAGTAAAAACTTATAGACACAGCAGTATGAATGAATGAAAAACATATGGATTGCAAGAAGCCAGAGACAAAAAAAATATAAACTGTATTATTCCACATATGTGAAGTTCTAGAACTGGTAAAACTAATCTCTGATGACATAAATTAGCACCGTGTTTACCTCTAGGGTCTAGAATTGACTGAAAAAGCTTACAAGGAAACTTCCTGGATGGATGGTAGAAACCCTCAGTGTCTTTGCTGAGATACACTGGTGTATGCCTTTGTCAAACTCAGTGAATGTTACACTTAAAATATGTGAATTTATAAGTTACATCTCAATAAAGGGAATCAAAGATATTTTAAAGGTAAAACGATTTAATGTTTCGGAAGATTGTAATCTTCTGCTGTTACCTCCATGCCTCCTTTCAAGTCTGTTTTCCCAGATACCTCACTCCCCAATCAGTTTATCTAATAAAATCACATTCTTTTGTTTTAAATTGTCTTAGTAATTGAATTCAGTAAGATAAACGAATAGTACTAGGCAGTTAATTTTTAAAATTAAATTTAATCAGAGATGTGTATTCCTGGTTGATTGGTTAATGTTGCATACTGGTAAGTTAGATATTTGAAGTTTGGTTCTTGATTAGTAATATATGACCCCTGTGAGTCTGATGTAAGTCTGAGTTATAGGAAGCTAAGAAATACTTCACTAGTTCAAAAAGTTTTAGATTCTAACAACAGATATTCCAAATTCATTTTGTTAATGGAGACATTTGATGACTTAGTTACATTTTTTAATACACCAAAACCTACTTGAAAACTTCTTTTAAAGACATTTTATATTTCCACGTATTCTATTTAGCAATACTGAAAGGGTCTTTTAAAAACCTTTTTATGTCTTTTTTATTTTCTAATAGGACTAAATTTATTCAATACCCTAGTAAAAATTTTGATTATAAGTATCCAACAGTATAAAAAGTACAAAACAGATCTGTAGATGTCTAATACATTAATACAAAGTGCATGACTCCACACAGTATGTCCTGCAGGCAGAGGGGGCAGGGGAGAAGATGGTGGCTGAGGTCTAGCAATAAATAAATAAATACAGAAGTAGAGATAACTCACGTTATAGTATATTCTACCACCAGTACTGCAGCCAGCATGTACAAAAAAAAACAAGAAAAACAACAAAGCCATTTCGAAGTAACTCAGGATGGAGGATGATAACAGTTGACCTTTGCGTCCCCTTTTGAGGCAGTGGGAGTCAGGGTCGTGTGGGGTCGGGAGCAGGCAGGCTTTTTCCCACAAAGAAGAAATGCAACCTGTTAGGTTCAGACAAGAGCTAGAGAACTACGGGGCTCACTCGTCGGTTACGCTACCCAAAACCTAAAACTGCAGTTTAAAAAAAAAAAAGTTAAAAAATAAGCGCTGATTCCCGGCACCGTAAGCGTGATGTTCCTCCTGCAGGGGGCCCATCCAAACAGGGTTTTTTGTTTGTTTGTTTGTTTGTTTGTTTGTTTTTCCTGGACTTCTAGAGAAGAGGCAATGAGAATACTTTGGCGTGGATTCAAGTGAGAAGCTTTAAAAATGAGGATCTCAGAAGTGGAGGGCTTTACGGTCACATCTGAAGATCAGAAAGCCAGACTAAAAAGTCGAAGCATAGCCAGGCTTAGTATTCATGCACGCCTCTGTCCTTTTACTCAATTTTATGTTAATTATAACGAGAAAAAACAAAACAAAAACCAGAAGCCCTAGTCGGCTATAAGAAGTCAGACGCAGGCTCGACTCAGGTAAAACCTTTACAAAGGTCTCAAGAGATAAAAGCCAGGGCGGGAATGGAACAGCCCAGATTGGTGGCAAAGTTCCCCCTAGTCCCCAAGGTGAGCCAGTGCCGCACAAGCCAGGCAAGTCCCCAGAGCAGCGTGCCTTCACTCTGTTTCTCAACTAGCTGAGCCTATTTAACCCGGAATCCGCATTCCCCGGGGCGGAGCTCTGCCTCTGCTGTGGGACGTCGTGGAAATTAAAACCTGGATCAAACATGAACATGAGGGAGGTGACATGGATGCAACCTATACAGCTGAGTGACCTCTGTCTGTTGAGAAGTTAGCATCTCCTGCCCAGGACGCACTCCTGCTTCATCGTCAGTAGTACGGGTTTGAGCCCCCAGATCCTGGGCCAGACCTCAGGATTCCAGCGCCAGGGGTCAGTCCTGTAACTGGGTTACTACCAATTTACTGTTGGGAGGGAAAACAAGGACCGCCAGCCAATTAGAAACTGCCCCAACCATTGTTTCTCAGTACAGAAAGATTACAACTACATGTGGCTTATCATTTAACAGATCCCATCTCTGTCCCCTGAAATTCCCCTAATTCCATTCATCAGAAGTGGATTTAATTAAAAAAAAAAAAAAAGAGCACTTTAGAGCAGCATTCAGCTTTCCTATGAAACCCTCAGCATCTTCAATATTATGTACACGTATTCTTTCAGTAAGCAAGACACTGGCTTCAGAATGTGTGCAACTGGGAGGAAGATAACCCATTCAGAACTAGTCTAGAAATTGTCTTTTGGCAGAATAGCATGTATCCAAGTGGAAACGTTAAGAGGGTCATTTTGTCGCTTCGTGGTCTTCACATAATCTCTGCTGCTCTGCCACCTGGCCCCGTGGGTGGCAGTCACCACTCCTGAGGGGCCATGGGCAGCGGCTCGGGGCCCTGGGGTGCTGGCGGCTTGGCAGCCAGCTTCTTGCTGTTGCAGCAAGGCTTGAAGAGGTGCGTGTCGATGAGCACTTCCCCCAAACACCCTCTGTAGATGATCCCACAGCAGATCTTCTGCCTTTTCCAGTAGGTGAGATCTAAAAAGAAGACCGGTGTTCTGCTGGAGCCGGAAGCCATCTCTGTATCTGAGCCATCATCTGACTGGTTACTGTAACAAGGGGACTGAGCTGGAGGGGCACTGAGGTGGTACTGTGAGCATCAGAATTATGGCGTTTAAATTCCTTCTGCAGTTTGCCGATCTGGTTGCTTTTCATCCTGTTTCCAGTCTTCACTTTCTTTGGTTTCAGTGTGGTCTTTAGACTGGGTCCTGCCCTTGCATCTACCACATGATTTCCAGGTTTTTTTTTTTTTTTGGATCCTGCCA